CCCCCCCGCCCCCCCCCCCCCCCCCCAGTTCCTTTTGGGAACTCGGACAAACAAACGGAGTTGCTAGCTGTCTTACAATGACAGCTTTCAGTGTAAAAACCTTGTCCCAAGATGTTTTTGATAAATTTGGGACACAGAAGAAGGACCACCATTCAAGTGGGACTTAAATATGCCATAGAGGGGATATATAAAAGATTTTAAAATAAATATGGTGAGTAACAAGATTCATTTGGAAGTGAGGGTTTCATTAGGTGACTCTTGTAAGAGGGGAAGCAGCTAGGGATACACCGATACCAATTTTTCCAGTACTCGCCCAATACCGATACTTTTATTTTTGATACTTGCCGATACAGAGTACCGATACCGATATTTTTCTTGCATTTGTACATTTTTTAAATATTGGGTACAGAAACGAAAAGGGTATGTATAATGTTAGTTGGTTAACTTCATTTATCAAATAGATACAGTCAAACCTAAATTTATTTGGACACCTTCAACATTTCTCACATTATCACAGTTTATTCGCTATAGTTTAGAAAATGGTAATAAAATATGACAAGAACTCATATTTTAAACTGTGTCAGAACAAATTCAGCTTGATAATTTTAGATAACTTTGATAGAAAGGTATGTAATGGATTACAATCAACCAAAAATTATTCAGACAGTATGACAGTATTTACACAACTATCAATACTTAGTCGGGCAACCCATAGCCTTAATGACAGCCTGTAGTTTCCTGGGCATCCTGTCAATCCAGGTTCATGCAAACCTAAACTTAAATTTTTTCTGAATAATTTTTGGTCCCAAATTTGTATCAGTTTTACTGGTAGTCCACTGAAGAATTTTTGGGTATAATTTGTCACAGTTTACTTTATTTTCCTATCCTCACTTACATAAATGAACTATAGTGTCCTGCACCCACTAGTAAAAAAATTATATCTGGTCTCTGAATAATTTTTGGTTTGACTGTATATCCTTCGGTTATTTTCACTTCATTTTGCCCATTAAAATGTATTTTACAAGTTGTTACTTTCACTGTAAATTTTTTGCTCTATGGTACATCATTAATTTAATAGCATTAGAGCTGCTCCATTGCAGCGGCTTAGTACTGTAATCACGTGCTTTGCTGTAATAATGCAGGGAACCACTCTTATAAATCTCCTCTAACTGTGATATTTTCAGAAATAGAAGTCGTGTTTTTTTTCATCTGAAATGTGCTGCGATTTATATTCCAAAGCCACTCATATAATGCAGAAACACTCAAGCAAGCAAAACACGCGCAACGCGTGCACATATTTGTACTGGTGTGGAATGAGAGGGACAAGTAGTACAGTGCATTTCACACAGGCTGCTAGATTCACTTTCGCCAGAAAGTCGTGTATGCCTAAGGTTGAAAATAAATGATGATTATAGTGAATGCCCCGATAAATGGTCTTATTTTTACAATTTAGTTTTAATCCAAATGATGCGTGTGCTGAGTGAGTGAACATCAAAGATCACACAACAGAAGTGCGC